CAGCCACAGATTAGAAGGGAGTCACCAACTGAGCCCCCTCCACAGTCTGGAAGCAGCGGAAAGCCTAGAGGTTTCTACCATATAAATCCTGTAACTCATTCATCCTTCCTACACTCCAGGTCCCAACTCACAAGTAACCCACAAAACAATCTAAAATGGTCCAGAATTCCAAATACCTTCCCTTCTCCCTGCCTTCAGCATGTGGAACCTTGTGGGCTCTCTTAGTAATTCTCTTCTGGGTATTTTTCATGGCCAGTTGGGCATTAGTGGTTTCTCTCTGGCCCCCAACCTCAACTATAATTGTAATCTGGCCCAGGCCTGACCTTTCTGACCCTCTATAAAAGGAGGGTCTGAGTCCTGGGTCTGGGAGTCCCTCATGCACCACACTCCTTCAATTCCTGTATTTCTGCCTTTTCCTGACAGGAACCTTCTACACACAGAGACATCAAGCAATAGCCTCAAAAAAAAAAAAAAAAAAAGATCCCCCCCACTACCTCTCCCCCACTCTCTTACACACATATGCTGGAGTGTATACACACACACACACACACACACACACACTTGACAAAGACACATCAAAAATTTGCTGCTTCTCCTGTAAACAGCACTTACGGAAGTGTTTCATCTATCTATCCACCATCAGATATGAATTCTGCCTGACTTAATTTCTCTTTTCAAGAAAGGAAAAACCAACTGAGAAGTCTTTTACTTAAAACCCCCAAAATTAATATCTGGGCGTGACCTTTTCATGATCAATGAGATCACATAGCTGCAAAGGGCTTTATTGAGAGCAAACACACTGGGTGGGCATGCATGCACACACATGCAGTCACATGTACCCTTCCTCAAGTAAAAAGAAATGAAAACAAACTCAGAGCAGTGGAAGTCAACAAAGCAGCCAGAGACCATTATCCCAGTATTAGCAGACGTTTCCCAGTTTTTACCAATGAAACTAAGCTTACTTTGTCTGTATCATTTGATAAAATGGTAGAAAGGTGGCCCACTGTATCCAACTCCCCCTACCACCACCACTACTCCCTTAGACTCTCAGCAAGATGGAGAGAGGGATTCTGCCTCACCTCTGGCAGAGAACTTGCATTTATCACATATACCTACAGACTTGTCTCTCCTCCCTTGTGAAAAGGATGAGAGACTTAGGAATCCCAACAACCCTTCCAAAACTCTGATATTCTCCCCAATCTTATCCTGATTCACACCTTATTCTGATTCTATAGCAGCCTCTGCCCTCTAATATCTTCTTCCTTCCTACTATTGCCAGTTGCTGGGATCCTGGCTGAAGAAGCCTTCATACTTCTCTCTGCCTACCTCAAGTTCTCTGCATCTGGGTCTCTGACCCTGTTTCTTCCTTTTCAGTCACTTGTCTCCTAACCCTTGCCCTCAAAATTGTGTGTGTGTGTGTGTGTGTGTGTGTGTTTTATGAAGGCTGAACTGTCTCTTCATGTATTTCCATATTTCTTCTCTCCTATGATCTCAGTGGAACACACAGAGAAAAAAGCGCAACAACTATCTCTGCTTCTTCCAAAGCATCACCTCACCCAACGCATTTGCACATCTGACTACAGGTAGTACCAAACACATGTAAAGAGCTGAGGGCTCGGTAAGCTGTGGGAAACTCCAATCAGACCAATGGATTTGCACTCAGGTAGTAGCTTCCAGCTATGAGCGTGGTTCAAGGGACCAGGAGTTTTGCCCTAGCAGACAGACCCCATTAACTCTCCTGTATCTCACAGTGCACCTCTAGCCCTCTCAGGTGGGAAGAGAGTGAAGTTTCAGTCTCTAATTCATACCTCACATTCTGTTACCTATGTCAGGAGGGGCCAATTCCTAAAGGCCCTACAATGGCCAAAGAGAAACCTCTCTCCTCTCAGAGAGTGTAACCCAGAGATAAATGTTCTCGGACAACACACACCCAGAGACAAATGTTCACGGACAAATGTAGAAATAAAAATACATATATTCTGAAAAATAATATACACACACACAAACCCAAACACAAAACAATCCAAGCTCCATAAAAGCCCCTGCACACATCTATACAGAGGCACACAGAATGTGCATCAAGAGACTTATTTGCCCTGTACTCAGTGGATACAATGTTCAAGAGCACTTAGCACCCAGATCTACCCAGGCTATGCTAAAACTAAACAAGAAGGAGGTAAGACTCCTCAGGTGCATTTGAAACAGAATMCATGTACCCAATTCCATGGTGAAAACCTTCCTAGTACCGGAGTGAAAATGAAAGTGCTGGAGGGGTCACTGGCTTCCCAGAGACCTGGCCCCATTAGCAGCTGAAGGCAAACGTCACAGTGCCCCCAGTATCTGATAAGCCCAAACCCTCCTCTGCCTGCCTGGCCCTTCCTCACTCCCCCTCTGCTGGGGAGCTTGGGGTCTTCTAGGTGAGCCCCCAACAAGGACAAGGGAGTGCAGGCAAGCAGACGGAGCTGGTGACTGCTGAAGTTCGCATATATTTATTCAATTGACACCAGTGGGAAGGGAGGAAAGAGACAGATTTTTCTTTTCTTCCACACAAACCATCAGACAATTTCACAGAGTCTTCCCTAAGAAGAGGTTTCTAAATCAATGCACACCAGTGGACAGAGAACAGAGAGCAGCCTGCTGTACAGATATTTACACATAATTACAGGACCCCCTGACACAGCTCGGTGCCCTTGCCCACCCCACCCCCACCTTTCCAGTCCCTGACCCAGACCCTCCTCTCCCACCCGACCTCATTGCCTTTAACTACAATAAATACCCCAGGGCCTGGGGCTGAGCTGGAGGCTGAGAGGGTTGCTGGCCCTGGATGGCTGGCCCCAGCCGGCTAGGGGAAAGGGAAGAAGTTCCTTGAAAAGCACCCAAACATGAAAGAGAAAGGATTTTCCTCATGGAGTGGGATCTGGGGTTTCTGCAAAGATTGTGGAGATCCGCTGCTTCACCTCTCGGTTCAGCTTCGCCTGTGTAGATACTGCGCTAGGCTTCAGAGGGAACGAACTTCCTTGGAGAACAGGAAAAAAAAAAACTTTGAATTTTTCTTTTATGCACAAGCGGATAATAGATGTTGTTAAATTATAATATTGGACAAGCAGGGTCGCAAAGTTGAGGAAGGAAGAAAGGGAGACCTCTCAGCGCCCTTGGTGTTTCTGGTGGGATCCGCAGGGCCTGGGCAGGCACGTCTCCGGGAAGGCATTCTTCCGGGGTTGCGGAGCGGACTCAGGCAAGGAAAAACCGAAGGTCCCCCACTCCCTCGTTTGCTGCTCAAACAGGAATGGGATCTTGGCTTGGGACCACTTAGCTTAAACCCAGGCCTCGCCCTGAGCGATGGAGCCCGCTTCGTCCCAACTCTCGGCGAGATTCTGAGCGTGGAACCTGAAGTGCCAAGTCACGCGCGCCGGCCCAGGTTGGAGACTCTTCATAAATAGACTCCCTGAGTTCCGCTGGGACCGCAGGAGCTCCCGGGAGAAGCTGTGTGCGGGCCTAACTGACCCTGAGCCCGCTGTGGTCAGAAGTGGCAGCCACTGAGGCCGGCTACTTTGCCGGCAAACGGCGGCCCTGTAGACAGGAGCGCGTCCCCAGGGTGCGAGAGGCGGATGTGACCGGCCACCGGAGCCAGGGCCGGGGCAGTCAGCATGGCCAAGACCTGGGCTTGACCCCCAGGTCCCGCAGCTGCCGTGAACGGCGATCCCGGGGACCCCTCGCCGCTGCCTGGGGGTGCTCCCCCGCCACCACCATGGCCCATGATGTGGTCTATAGAGAAGGAAGGCCTCTGCCCAGGGCCTGCGCCCCCGCCGCCCGCACCACCTCCCGCGTCAGTCTTGAGGCCCTGGCGCAGGAGTGCGGTGGACAGACCGGCCGCTGTGCCAGCTGCGGGAGGGCTCAGGGACGCGGGGTAGAAAGCTTTGGCGCAGCTCAACTCCGCGCCTAGGAAGGCGGGCAGGCCGGAGGGGCCCGGGCCCGACCCTGGGGCAGGCGCAGGGGCCGGAGCCGAGGCTGCGCCAGCGAACACCGAGGCCGTCGGAGGTCCGGGTGGAGGTGCAGCGGCGCGGCCTGGGGGAACCGACAGCTGGCAAGGCGCTGCTGCGGCAGCGGCGGCGAAAGCGAAGGCGTGCGGGTGTGGATGCGGGTGCGGGGCCGGCCCTGGTGGGGGTGCACCGTAGGCCGGGAGGGCCAGCCCGTAGCCATAGCCGTAGGCGCCGTAAGCGGCGAAGCCGGGCAGGAAGGCGCCGGGATCCCCGGCCGCTGCAGCCCCGCCACGCAACAGCAGCTCTGGGTGAGGGTGCGGGTGTGGATGTGGTGGCGGTAACGGCTGCCGCTTGAAGCGCTTGCGGCGCCGCAGGAAGCTGCCGTTGTCGAACATGTCGGCCGACTCCGGGTCAAGCGTCCAATAGTTGCCCTTGCCCGGGTTGCCCGGTTCGCGGGGGATCTTGACGAAGCAGTCGTTGAGCGAGAGGTTGTGACGAATGCTGTTTTGCCAGGCTGGGAACTTGCGGCGGTAGTAGGGGAAGCGGCCGCTGATGAACTCGCAGATCTCGCTCAGCGTCAGGCGCTTCTTGGGGCTCTGCAGGATGGCCATGGTGATGAGCGCGATGTAGGAGTAGGGTGGCTTTACCAAAGGGCTCCGCGTCGCCGCGCCCCCCGACGGTGGTCCGGGCCCCGGCCCCGCCGCGCCCCGGGCCGCGGCCGCGCCTGGCCCTGGGCTTCCCGCTGAGGCCGCCGCCCCCCGGGGCGCTAGAGCGCGAGGCTCGCCGTCAGAGCTGCCACCCGACTCCTCCTCGTCTTCTGCTACGTCTGCCTCGGCTTCCTCCGGAGGAGGCTCGTGGCCGTGAGGGAGCACGTCCCGGGGGGCACGGGGCCCGGAGCGGGCTGGGAGCTCCCCCCCACCGCTGCCGCCGCCCACCACGTCTATGTCTGCGTCGGCCTCGGACAGTGCGGCCGGGGAGCTCTCGGAGGACATGATCTCGCAGCAGCAGCTGCCCAGGGTCATGGTGCCGCCGCCACCGCCGCCGCGATCTCGGGCTCCGCTCCGGCCGCGGCTCCGGCTCGGCCGCGCTGCCTCTGGGGCGAGTGTGTTTTGCGCGCGGGCGGGGAGGGGGCGGACTGAAGCGGACAGGGAGGGGTGTCCCCCAGCTTCGCAGCGCCCCCTGGTGGCCTAACTCAGCCGGTCTCATCCTGCAGGGCGCACCCAACTGGCCGCTCCCTCTGCTGCCCCGGGAGCCGGAACCGAGACCTACACCCACCGCGCAGGCGGAAGGAGCTGAGCCACCCCTCACCTTGGCGGGCGTCCGTCCCTACTCCCCCAGGGGTGGAAGTCGGGGTTCTCCTAAGCCGCTGCCTAAGGCGGAAGAGCCGCGGGCTTGGGGCGGAGCTCTCTGGGTGGGGCGGGGCGGGAGGGGACCCKCGGAGTGCCTTCACGCAGGGGCCCGGCGGGAACAAACCGCCGCCGCGGCGGGAGCTGGGTTCGCGTGGCTGGAGGCGGGTCCTCCCCTTCCCACAGTTCCCGCAAGTCCTCGGCTCCCGGGAACCTCTGCCTTCAGGGCGCTCAGTTCTTGGAAGTCAAGGCGGGCTCCAGCCAGAGCTGTTAGAAGTGGTGGCAGCCCCCGCCCATCATCTCCCCAAAGCAGCGCCCGGAGCCACCAGGGCCGAAGCGCCGTTGGATCGCGAGCGGGAGCCTGAGACGCCCAGACCAGCGGAGCCTTGCAGGGCCCGCCGGAGCCCCAGCGGCTTCCGGCCCAAGGGGGTGAGTGATCTCGAGGAGGAAACCGGGCGTTCGCATCCTCGCGCCTCCGAGAGGTGAGAAATTCTGTCTGCTCCCCTTTCCTTCTCCTTCCCTTCAAGGCCTTCGCGGGGGGAGACCCAGGGAGTGCGCCGCCTGTTCGTGATCCCTCCCTAAAGTTTCTCTGCTGTGGCCGTATTCCTGGGGCTCCGACGGTCTGTGACTCCGGGTTTGCCTGTACTATGACTGCTTTCGGTCTCAGCTTCCGTTTGTTAGTCTCTGTGTCCCTCTTCCTCGGTCAATCTCTCACCGTTTCCTATGGAAGCTGCGTTTGTCTGAGTGTCTGTGGGTCTGGAAATCCCTCTCAGCTCCCCTCTCCCTTACCCGCAATCACTCTGAGGGCTACCTCCCCACTGCCCCTATGACCACTGGGCAGGTAGCAGGGCCCCCTTGGAGACCTTCCTCAGCGAATCCTGACCTCATCCCCGGCACGTGTTGCCTTTCTCTCTAGGGATCTGGTGCACCTAAGGTTGGTTTAGCAGCTTTTTCAGCTATCTGGATTCCTGCCTATCCCATTAGGCCTCTTTCTCTTCTCGACTTTCTCCAGGATTCTGAATAAAGTCCGCTCCAGCTCCGATTGGGCTCATTTCAACCTCTGGGCGGTAGAAGGGGAATGGGCGGTAGAAGGGAAGTGGGCAAGAGCTGACCGCTGCCCTCACAGCGCCGCACAGTGGCCAAAGGTTGAGCATTGGCGACCTGAGTCCAGCTGCTAGCCGCTATTAAAAGGCGGTGACCCTTTTTGGGTAATTTCCTCTTCCGAGCCTAAATTTCCTGGTCTGCATAGCAGACCTTAGAATGAGGCTGCTGGGGGCTCCAGTTGTGGCTTCACTACTTAGCAGCTGTCACAAAAGTTTCTTAAACTATTTAATTGTCTCCTCCTCTGTAAAAATTAAATTAAAAATACCTACTTCATGACTGGTATGTAAAAGTAACCATATTCCCGACTGTTTATGGGGAGGGTACTGAAAGCATGTTACAGAATCATGGGACCCTGTTCTTTGGGAGATAAAGGAGTTAGGGGGTAATGTAGTCTCTCACCTGGATCCCTAGCCCTGGCCCATCCCCAGACTGCTTATTGGTACCATCTCCAGTCACTGCTGAATTCAGTCCTCTGTAGCTAAGGTAGGAGCAGGGTGTGAGGGATTTTGCAGTCAAGTGGGCTGGTTCTTAGGAGGGTGAACGAATTATCTCCTATTAAACAGCAGCATCCAATGACTGGAAGGGTTTAGTGTAAACCCAACTCCCTCACTCCACAGATGGGGCTACAGAGGCCCAGAGAAGGGTGAGAGGATTTGCCCAGGCTTCCGCAATAAGATAGAGCAGGACTGGTTCGCAATCCCTATCATGGAACCCTCACAATAGAGTTTTTCAGCTTCCTGAGCTAAGTGGGAGACAGAGCTGCTTATATCCGGTGAGAACAAGTTATCTGGGACCTCTGACCAAAGAGAAGCACTTGTTGTGCTGGGTCTACATAAACAGAACATTCTTGGAGAAAGAAGAGGTCTAATCCTCAGGTCAGGGAAGTAAGTTGGACAAGGACTAGTGGCCCCAGAATTTGAATTTCCTGGGTGGTTCAGCCCTACAAACAAACAAGCAAACAAAAGGAGTTTTGAAGAGACATTTCTTAACATAAGCCTAGATAAATTCACATAGCTAGGGTTGCTAGATTTAGCAGCTTTATTTTATCTGGCAACCCTGCACATACTTCAAACTTGCTCTCTACTACACAGAGATTGATATCTCTCTCTCTCTCCCTCCCCCGTGTGCACTCCCCCCATCCCTCTTCCAGGACCCTACCCACAGATACTTCCACACCATCAGCCACACACTAACTCCAACATAGCTCAGCTCTGCTGATGTCTAAATAAATGGATAAAAAAAGAAACTCCACAGCATGACATCATCCTATTCCATTTCACCTTCTGAGTGTCTTCATTTCAAAAATTGGAAATCAGAATAGCTTCTTGCCTTGCCAGGACTCTCCTCATTCCCTAGGCTGTCAAGTTTCAGGGTAGAACTGGTTGAGGCATTTGCTGCCCACATCCCCTGATTCTAATGCTTCAAATAAGATGCTCCCAGCCAGAATCATGGGACCCTGTTCTTTGGGAGATAAAGGGGTTAGGAGTAATGTAGTCTCTCTGCCTCTGCTGGCCTCTGCTGCACACCCACTTTGAAAAAGGGAGTATAAAAACTCCAGCCTTTGTTCTGTAGGATGGGGCACAACCTTAAGGAATCATCCAGACTCTTCACACACACTTTTACAGTAGTGGAAACTGAGGCCCAGGAGAATATGTTATTTGTCAGGCTCTTGAGGGACCCTAAGTTGGGATGGACCCAGATGAATAGACTGCCAGCCCAGAACTCATGGATTTATCCAAATAACTGCTTCCCTGCAAGAGTACTGCTCTTGCTTGGGGGGGAGGTTTCTGGTAGCTTCATATCCCTTCGAACTGGGCCAGTTTGTTTAAAACAATGCCTAGAGTAGGTGCACGGAGGTCAGGAAGAAGGGCCACTCAGAGGGCAACCCAAGGATTCAGGATTCGTTTTGTTTTCTTTCCTTCTCAGTGGTCCCTGCCTTTTCTGCCTGTGCATTTAGCCTCTTCCACATCTGGCAGTGTATCTCAGCCTTGTTTGAGTTGGTTGTGCCATTGCAAAAACCCGAACACCTTCACCTTCACCTATGGGTACCTAAGGCAGCCCACAGGCTCCGCAATTATTGGTTACAATGTGTAGGTGGGTGGTTGGGTCCGTTTTCATCCTCCTCCTTTATCTACCACACTGCCTATCCTCCTTCCTTGAGCAATCCAGAAAGTTAAGAGAAAGCTTTCTGGGGAGAGGGTATGCTTGTTCAGGATTCTGAACAAGCATACCCTCTCCCCAGAGGAGAAGTCGTTGCCTGTTTATTGCAAAGTATGTGTTACTTTCAATGGCTCCCAGGCCATCTGTCCCTTCCCTTCATACGGGTTTTGCAAACTAGCCATTCTCCTCCGATCAGGGAAAGTAAAGCCTTCCAGCGATTACAAGAATAGAATTAAGTTGCATTGCTGGAGGAGTTTGTCCAGAGACTCAGGCTGAACTATGGCAGGCGGCCCTGGGTGAGAGCTTGCATACCACCCACCTGCCTGGGGCCTGCTCCTCTGCACCGTGGGAAGGCCCATGGAGGCCTCAGTTGTACCTGGCATGACACCCACACAGTTCTCCAATTTCGTTCAACAAACTCACCAGCCTCAGGGAAAGCAGGGAGGCGGAGGCTAGCCCCTTCCCAGCTCCCTACAGGGTTGCAGCTCTGGAAGAAGGCATTGTTTGGCCACAGCTGGTCTCCCAATCCCTTTCTCCATCTGGATCTAAACCTGCTCTGAAAAGTTTGGCTCCCTTGGCTCTGGTTGGAGACTAGACACTCCAGATCATATGACCCACAGGGGTGGAACTCAGGCAGCCGGCATTGGGGTGTCCCCCCCAGCCCATCTGCTCACCCCCAGGCACCTCTGTAGCCCCGCAACTCAGCATGACAAAGTTCAGAGAGTACGAATTTCTGAATTTCTGTCTTCCTCTCCTTCCATTACTTCTGGCCACTGTCTGTACCCTGCTAGCCCCATCTGGACTATGTGGTTGGGGGCTTGCTCTAGCAACCTGTGGCCCCAGTGCTGTGAGGCTAAACTCCCATTTGTGGGAAGAGGGTTGCCAGCTCAGGAGGGGTTGAAAATAGTACTGTTCCTGTACTGTGGTGAGCACCCACTCAGCAGATTCTCAGAGTTAGTGGAGAGCACCATGGTTTCACATGCTGGAGAGCAGAGTTTCGATGGGCCAAGGGAATGGGGGACCTTCCAAGTTTGTTGGAGTGGGAGCTCCAGTTCCTAGAATGCTCTGATAGGTTCCTAGGTCCCTGGATTCAGGTGTCAGTCCTGTATGTATGCCTTCTCTAGGGAAGATGGTGGATCTGTGGCTGAGTACGCCCCTAAATGAGGGTCCCCTATTGATCTCATGCTCTGTGTCTGCAGGGCCAGAGTGATCCAGGACCTCCCTGGAAGGTTGAGCATCCACCAAAGTGCAAGGCAGTAAGACCTGGTCCAAGAATGCAAGCCCACTTCAAACCAGCAGCAGGACCCTTGCAGGGAAGGAGGGTGTGCCAAGATGCTGGTCTGAGAAGGGATCTATGTTTAGGAGAGGTAGAAAGAAGTTCATAAAAGGATGGCGCTACATGACAGCCAAGAAATCTGGCACCTGGCCTTCTTCCCACCAAATTACAGGCTACCTACCAGTGGCACTTCAAAACTGATGCTCTTCGGAGGGTCCTGAATTGGGGCAGGGCAAGAGGGAGGGTGCCTAGGCACCCATAAGGACCTGGTTCCTCTGAGTGGCACCATCACATTTAACCTTTCAGAATCCCAGAGTGACTGGTAAGACCGTACTTCCCTTCATAGGAGGGAAGATACAGTCCCCGTGTCCCGTGGGGTAAATGCAGAGCCACATCACCCTGGCAGAATTTGAGCCTAGATGGGGTGGTGCACCAGCCAGAGCCGCTGCCTAGCTAGTGGTGGATTCCTGGGGAACAGCGACCTCTGGAGGAACCTTGCATCCACACAAAGTCAGGAACTTCATAAGATTTGAAACCAAAGCACCACTTTGCCAGCTCACCTCCATCCATCCCTTTAGCAAAGTCACCCTGAGATTCAATCTTTGGACTCCACTCATTTCTCATTTGTTTCCTTTTCCAGTTTGTACCCAGGCTTCAAATTCCTGCTCAAATTCTGCCTCCTTTTTTGAAAGAAACCTCTATAACCCAGCCTGTCCCCACCTCTTCGTGCTCTGAGCTCCTCAAAAAATCAAATGCATGTACCCTCCATGCAGGCTTGCTCAGCACTGTGTAGCCCACCTGCTTCCTGCCTTGCCATTCCCCAAAGACACCGTTAATCCACTCCACCCACCCCTTGGTAGCAAGCTGGGTATGCTGTTTTCTCTTTCCCCACACATACTAGTAAATAAAAATTGAAGTCATTTGTCCCAAAATTGGACTGAA